TTTTTACCAGATCGGATTTATAACCAGAACATTTATCAACACGTTAACATGCCATGGTGTAAAATTACGTTGTTTAATGCTCCGCTGCATCGAAACAAAATATTTGTAAATTATGGCAACCCGTGGGCACTACGCATCCAGGGGTTGAATCGGATTATCTAAAGCCAATGCAATATTTATAATCTACACGGCGAATTTGCAATATTAATATTTCATATTGTGTCATTCTTGCGAAAGAAGTGATATCTCTAATGTCACGTGTCATTAGTGAAATAAAATAAAATATGAATGTGAGAATTTACAATCTCCTGATAATGGATCAGAATACATTATTGTCGGACATCAATCACGAGGAATCATTCACAGAACTCAATGGTCTGTATACTCACCATGATGTCCCTGGCAATGAAACGAATCGAATAAAACAACCAATCTGATTGGATCGGTGTTTAAAGGCCCACTCATAATTTAGTCTTTTGAAGATAATTCCCCGAACCTAGATCAAAATGTACTCAATTTAGATTAGTTTTGAAAAACCTTATTTTTACAGTATGGACTTAATTTAGGAATGTGAATATGCAGTACTAGTTAATCACTGTATCCATGCTTAGGCCAACACATCTCTGTACACCCTCTTTATATGAAACGGAAGGGCTGTGTGCACATTAAACCACCAACACATTCTTACCCACTCATGGCCGCATGGGCTGTAATTACAAATAAGTAGTTTAATCGGGACACGACTACCACGTGGTTTCGTATTACTCCGATTTGCGCTTTCTGCCGATTGGTGTGTGAGCGCATGTCCGACCATGAACTTTTCAGGACACGTCCGACTAATTACCTGCTTTGTCCCCTTTATTCCGTGATCATGGAATTTATCTTCCGGTTTGAGCGAAGCAAAATAGATAAGAAATGTTTTCTCGACGTTTGCTACTAATGGCTTGACACATCTGGGTATGTGGTATGCTAATTACGTACTATAATGGTGACACACATAGTGTGGCAGCCCACTTGGGTGTTTAGCAGCACGACAAGTACTGTTTCATTTTCTGGGTTAAAGCCAGAGGCTGCAAAGAATTCGATGTTGAATTTGGCCTACTTATTAACAGCGGCGGAGTCGTCACCTGCGCATGCGTCAGATGGCCATAGCGTGTCATTGTTTACAAACAAGCGTAACCCATGAGCCTTTGCGTTTTTAGCGTGTGTTGTTATCGTCGCTTGGGACTCAATTTCCGCGCGTGCGCAGGTGACGTCTCCCCGCTTTAACACAATACACCGTGCAACATAACATGAATAATTGTATCTAACCTGGTCTGCATGCCATGTATGTGATTAAACCCACCGACCAGATGGGAAAAAATACCTGGTATTTTGACATGACAGGCCAGGGTGACGCACGAAAAAAAATTAAAAATGAAACGAATTATCATTTTTCCTAAATCCGAGAAACTCTGGATGTTTAACGCGTCGCAGTTATCGTGCTGTGCGCTTTCCCTTGAAGGTTGGTGGGTGTCACTAGTGGAAACGTATCAACGAGTGTGCGAGCCACCCAAGGGTCTATAAATGTTGTTTCAAAATGAACAATGGGTCCCTTTTGAACATTTTCAATAGCCGAAGGGTTTCTTTTTGGCATACCCAGGAATCAAATGGGTATTTTATATAAGGTGAGAGATCCATTTCACAATGATTTTAAACTAGTGTGAGTTTTTCTTGTAAATCTGTTTCCAATGGCGGGGTTTTGGGGGTTATGGTCTACCGGCCCGTGATTTTCACCGAACGTTGGTGTCTCGCATACCCGTATATAAATACAAGTCATGATATCATGAAAATATTGCGGGTTTAAAAACAGATGCTCATTTGTTCTGGTTTAAGATTCATTTTATCACCCCCCCCCCCATCACATTGATAACTATTTGCTAGAAAGACTATGTCCGAAGTGGTTCAGTGGTGTGAGGATGGAGAAAACTAAATTCGAAATTCAGGGTCAATCCATTTTATGTTGGATACACATAAGTAAGTACTAACTATGAGTAGCTACTATTGGAGAGGGTATTCCAAAAAAAAAAAACAGTTAACCAGGTTATTAATTATTATTTGTTTAAATTGCAGTAGGGATATTAGAAGTAACTAGTTAAATTACTAGTAGCCATCCAAGACTTATTTTCATGTTTGATTATTGGTATTGGTGTCATCCAGAAAACACAACCACGATTACCATCGTTTTGGCCTCAGGCCACTAATTCTTTTAGTGGTCCGAGTTTTGGAAAATAACTTCGTGCATATACTAGTATGTACTGAAATAAAATGTAATTGAATTGAATTGAATGCAATGCAATCGTTTTTGAATAAAATCCTCGTGTATTACAGTACAATAATTTGAAATAACAATATTCCAGGTAGAAATTTCTGACTAGACGGATACTAGAGCGTACTTCGCATAATTATGTGGGACTAAAGTACAGAGCTGTTCGACGGAAACATCCCTTCATGTACCGATAACAATGCATTGGAACAAATGACAGATCCATGGAAAAGTACTAGTTAAAGTGAATTGATGGCTGATTATTAGAAACCGTGTGACGAGAAGTGGTTTACACCTGCGTTTTTAGGTGAAGAATAGCATCATAAATAGTCGACTACATCGTCAGCTGTATTTATTTCAATATTCGTGCCAATGCAATACTACAGAATTGCATATTTTTATAAAGTTTTTTGTTTTTGTTTTTTGCACGTCTAAAAATACGGATTTCCTTTCCTATTTATATAATTCATAATCTACTAGAATGAAGTGAAATACATTCTCGACTACTTTTCTCATTGCATTTATTACAAAGTCTATTTTTTCTTCTATGCGTGTTTTTTGTGTTCCACCTAATTCAATTTGATGGTCACTGATTCTAAACAGTGTCTCCTCGTGTTGTAGTGTTTTATTTCATTTAGATGTCTTTTTTTTCCATTCCAGTGAGTGTTTTAAATAATTTGTATATTTATAATTTGTTTCCCTTATTCATTCATTTCGACAAATATTTTGTTGTTTCTTCCAGGACTGTTTAATATTCATTTGGTAATTTATGGTTCATAATTTCTGAGAGCTGATCGATATTGATTATATGGTTCCACTTCGACTTTTTTAAATTCAAATTTCCACACGATTTTTTA